TGATTAAGATAAGAATTTGTATTTTAAGACTCTATAGGTAACTTTATATTTTTACATAATAATGGGCAATTTTTTCATTTCTTTTAGGTAATTATTTGCTCATAAATACTTTCTCCAAAATGTATTTTAGATCAGCTTAAGATCTTACCAACTTTCAAAGCTATTTCAGCTTTCAGTAATCCAATTTAATAAATATTAACTTATTTTAAAGCTCTTTTAGTACTAAATCTGGTTATCTTGAATTGGCATTTCTATGACCTTTAGATCACATGATTGCTTCATTTCAAGGATTTCAAGAGTTTGCAGTTTAAATAATTGATTTTGAACACTCATGGGTAACCCTCAGCTCCTTAAGTTTCTTTCATGATAAACCTCAAAATAATTGCTTTCAGTTATTCTCAAATATCTCCATATTGAGTAATTGGATCAGGATAGGATCGACTATCTCTCACCAGAGCAAATAATTATATTAAAAATACTTCTTACATTCCCAATAATAATAAAAAAACTCAACAAAAAAACAGTAGTGGATAGTTTATTAGCATTTTTGTAGATACGAACAAACAAACTTTATTAGAAACTCCTTTTACAAGTAACAAAAAACAAAAAAATAACAACAGAAAATATGGAAACTTCTCAAAATTTCATCAAAGTTATCAAAAATATTATCCTTACCACTAATAACAACAACCAAACATCTAACACTAAAAAAGAAAACTGTCAACATGAAAATAGATAACATTGTTCTCTCAACTTCTAACTCCACAGAAAACATACATAACATCCCTCTTCTAACTGCTAAAGACTCTATGCATGCAAGACAAACAAACAATATTGACAAATCAAATTCATCAAAAATACCTTCTACTACTAAGGGAAAAAATAAACAAACTTGGTCAGAACAAATGGATGAAGCTGAAGCTTCTACCTTCAGCAACAAGAACGTGAAAGATTGATAAACCATACCTTTATCAAGTTCAAAAGTATTTGCTGCTTTAATTATTCCATTTTCTTTAGCATAAGTGACAACTTGTC